CAAAGCATTCTGTTAGGCAGCATTGAAAAAATACATTGAGAAACCTGTTTTTTTAACTCACCGACTTGAACTGTACGCAGTGGTTTGTGCCATTCAGAAGCCTTTTCCACCTGCTGCAGCTCTCAATTTCTTTCTGTGCTGTTGCTTAAGTTGATGTGGCCATTTTACTTAATTTCTTAGCCAAGAAATTTGCTTTATTTTTACTGAAAACTGATTTTTCTGTGACCCTAGGAGACTATAATTCACATGCTAGTGTAGCTGTGAGACCTGCTTGTTGCAACTCTGAGTGCCTGTCCACTGAGAAAGTGTTGGTCTCAATGTCCCCCAGAACATCTCTCTGTCAAACATGAACATCGGAAAGCCTGCCGATGGGGAGGTTACAGTTCCAGTCACAATGGAGTATGCACGCTCCATCCCGACTCCCACTGAATGCAGCCAGGTAACACTGAGCAGAATGATGGAACATTCTTTGAAGACTCCGAAAAATGGTAGCTGGCCAATTGGGAAAGGAATCCAAACTGAGAAGTATGAAAGAGCCAGCCACGAGTTTCCTTTTTTCTTCTTCTTCTTTTTCCCTCTTTCCATATCTCCTGCCTACACCGAAAGGCCACCTAAACGTCAGAACTGCAGAACTCCTAGAGAATCCCTGTGTTTCTAGCCCAGGGAGCAGGAACGGAAGTCCCATCGGGACAGAGCCTGGGAGAAATCCTAGCGTTTTCCATGCAAACCCTGTTAACATGCACTGTGCACAACTCTAGACTTTTTCTGTGCATGTTTTTTAAACATAGTTACAACAAACAATTGTTTTCCCCCTTAATGAAAGAAAATATTTGTTATATAAAATACGCAACATTGTAACTTATTTTTAATAATGTATTAAGCATTTATAGCCTTGTTTAGTGCCTTTGTATCACTATAGTTTGAAATCTGAGCATCTGAATCAGTTCGGACTGTGGTTCAGCACGTGAGAGCGTGTTTACAGCAGGCTCCTGATGTTGCCCATACGCCACTGGCTCTGGCCCTGGCTTCTAATAGCAGGGGTACAGTCACTTAACATCTCTCATTTAGGTGGTTGCCGGCTTGTTGCTTTTATAAATAATGTTGCAGTGGGATATTTGTACATAAAGCTTTTCTTCATATTTGGGGTCATTTCTTTGAGGCAAACTCCTAAAGGCAGTGTGACTGAGTCAGAGGTTATGGCTATTTCAATTGCTGATCAATATTAATGATTATTTTTGCAGAGGGTTTTGCCAGTTGTAATAACTGTACTACCCCCCCGAGTTGTAGATGAGGAAATTGAGGCTGAGAGGGGTTGGGCTGCCTAGGCTGGCACGCTGATGGGTAGAAGAGCCACGATTTTCGCCCAGCCTGTCTGCTGTAGAGGCCGCTGCCTCCTCCCCCTGCCTTTGCTCTGCAGCTGCAGCATTTACCATGGCCCCTCCTCTTAAAGGGGCTGTCTGAGATCAGTGGCATTGCACCTGTCCTGCCATCGGCCTTGGTAATTTGGTATGGGGAAAAATGAACTCCTCTTAATGTGAATTTTTATTTCTATTTGTTTGACAGAGTCTGTGCCTTTAGCTGGTCATATTCTTTGTCCTTTGATAAACTGTGTTTTCCTAGAGTGGGTTTTTCCCTTGATTTATGTGTGCTGTGAGCACAGTGAAGACGTTAACTTATTTCTGCTCTGATTGTTTTGTTATTTGTCTTTTATTTGCTTTTCAAAACATAATTAACTTTTTTACATAGCTGTAATCTTTTTTTTTTCCATTCCTAGCTAAGCTTAAAGAGAGGTCCCCCTTGCAGAGGTTTGGCAAGTATGGAAAGATATTTTTAAAAGCAAGCTTAGGAGTTTTAAGAACACTTGTAAGAAATGCAGCATTCATCTTTGGCTATTTTTCCTCAATGCCAAGTTTACCTCGTAATTTCTCCCTCCTCCCCTACACATACAGCTTCCCCGCAAACATTTTCCTGCTAAAATAGGAGGGCAAATTATGGGGTGATGCTGCCTGAGAATATGATTTATAGTTTTCAAAACACAGAGTTTTGGAAGGACAATTTGAAGTAATATAAAATGAAGAGTTACCTTAGCTTTTTGCCATAATTTTCTTCTATGTATCATCCATTCTTATCACAGAGCTAGATCAAACTTTCCATTTAAAACTTTAAAAAATACATGTGTTTATATATGCATGCAAAATAAAAATAAAATGGTTATACAGGACCTGTTATGAAAAACAATAGTACCTAACCCTAACCCTACTCCAACCTACTTTTCTGCTCTTGAAACTTTTTTAACAGAATCTTGCAGTTTTACCTACATTCATATTTCTGTTTTATAGATTGTGTGTGTGTGTGTGTGTGTGTGTGTGTGTGTGTGTGTTTACTCTCAGGTTTCTAAGTGACACAGGAATATGTTTTGTGATTGCCAATATAGGCTGTTTCTCTTCTTGCTGTGGAAGGCCAGGATTTAGAGTCCTTGTGCCCCTCCCCCACCCACTTGCATGTGCTCTGTGCCTTACCCTTCCCTTGTCCATCTCCCCCCACCAATAAATCACACACATTCACACTTCTTATTCAGTCTTCCCAGTGCAGCTTTTTTGTCCTTGCTCTGACTCAATACTCAGCACTTACATCATTACAGTTTTGTAAAGGCTATTCCCCGCCAAGTCATGTAGTTTCCTGTAATGTTCCTTTTCTGCACAGTATTTTGTTTCCTATAGAATTAGCTTTGCCATGCTTTTTACGTTAGTCATTTTCTGTGCACGTACTCACCCCCACATTGTGACTCCTGTCAGTACCTTCAGAGGCATTGGGTGTTCTGTTAATCTCATCTCCTTCAAGACAACTCTCCAGACTCCGGCTTGCCCATTTGGGAGGCTCACTTTCTAGGCCACCTGCAGTTCCCAGCTCTCCCAGTATGGGCGTTCTAGTGGATCCCATTTCTTCCTTTTCTGTGTTGACTCCTTTCCTTTGTAATTTCCTAAGGAACATACACAGGTGGTAAATACTTGAAATCTTATGTATATGAAAATGGCTTTACTGTATCCTTAGTTTGTGCTTAGTTAATAATATGGCTGGGTATAGAATTCTGAGTTGGAAATCATTTTCCCTCAGAATTTGGAGGCATTTTCCCAAAGCCTTCACTGTTTTCCAGTGTTGCTTTTGAATATTTCTGACTCTGTATCCTTCACGTGAAGCTTGTTTTTAATCTGTGGAAGCTTTAGGGTTTCTTCTTTGCTCCCAGTTTCTGAAATTCCACGATGCTGAATCTTGCCGTACAGGTCTGTTTTCTTCTCTTGAGCTGGGCATTCAGTGATCCTTTTGAATTTGGAGATTCACATCTTCTGTGCCTGCCATTCTTAACTAGAAGTCTTCATAAAAAATTAAAGGAAAATTATAATGAATTTATACTTATATAAACATGTTTTTCAAAGCTATAATATTATCAGTTAAATGTTGAAACAGGATCGTGGTGATTAAATTGGCAAACCAGAATTTACAAGAGTCCTGACAACCATAAAATATAGACAGCCAGACCTTTCATTTGACGGAGCAAATGAAAACCACAGTGAGGGAATTGGTCAAGCCACTTATTGCTCTAGTACCCAGCCTAGGTTTGTATCAGAGATGGGAAGATTTATTCTTAAACTTGTTTCACTTTTATTAAAAGGAAAAACATGCAACTCATTCCTTATAACTGCAGAAGATGGAAGGTGCATCCTACTCAGTTCCTTGTTTTAATTTGATCCCCAAAATCACGTGCGAGAAACTGTATATTTGTGTGCCCCAACCTTCAGCTGCTCTAGCAATAGAACAATAGTCCCCTAGGCCAAGCATGTGAAAATATAGCTCTACGTTGTCCCTAGAGTTTTAACTCCTCCCGTCCTGCCCCCTGCAAAGGCAGTTAGAGAAACAACTCAGTCGGTCTTTCTCTATCAGTGTAATAAAAATAAAAATAAATGGGTGAGCTGCATGCTTCTTCTTTAGAATGATTTCTTTCCAAGGGCTGCCCAAGGAACCTTGGCAGTAAACCTTGAGTGGACAGACTTCATGGTGGGGGAGTTTATGTCTTAATACAAGGCTTTAAATGCAAGGCACTCCTGTGTGTCTGCTCCCCTCTCAGTAACCACACTGGACTCTCCTACGACCTGGTGTGACCGGGGTTTTCCCCAACATGAAGCAATCCTGCAACCCTCTCTAACTCAATTCTGACACTACCTACTGGGACCCTGGGTCAGATCCCACAGGTTAAGGGCTCAGTGAGACACCGACTGCCCTCCCACTTCAGGTGACAATCACAAGTCCAGATGGTCACTTGTGCTTTACATCAACTAGCTATAAATTAGAAGTTCCTGTGACCTCTTCTTCTGGTTTAAAAAGTTTGCTAGAGTGACTCACAGAACTCAGGAATACAGTTTACTGACTGAATTGGAAGTTTATTATGGAATGATATGACTCAGGAAAAGCCAGATGAAGGGGTGCTAGGACAGGGTGAGCGGGAAGGGCTGTGCTGTCTCCCGGGTGTCTCCCTCTCCCAGTTTCCTCACATGTTCACCTCCCCCACCCTGCCCCGGAAGCTCTCCAAACCTGGTCCTGTGAGATATTTGCAGAGGCTTTATTAGGCTAATCAATTAAGTCATCGGCCACTGGTGATTAGCCCAGATGTGGAGGGAAGTGTACAGCAAGTTTTAACCCTCTCACCACCTGGTTGGTTCTGGCACCATCCTCGGGGGCTGTCTGAAAGTCAGCTCATTAAGGTAAACTCAGGTGTGATTGGAAGTGGCTTGTTATGAATAACAAAAGACACCTTTATCTTTTTTTATCACTTAGGAAATTCCAAAGGGTTTGGAAGCTCTGTGCCAGGAACAGGGACAAAGACCAAATATATATTTCTTATTATAAATCACAGTATCACAAAGTTCAGTTCCAAACATAAATAGTAATTATAGCACACTTTCATGTGGGCTAGTAATGATTCTTGTTTTCTCTTTTCCCACCAGCTTTTTGGAGACTGGGAAGCCCAGCTGCGGAGAATAATGAAGCTCATTGCTGGTGGCGGCCTGTCCATCACTGGCTCTCATAACATGTGTGGAGACTATCTGTACAGCGGCCACACGGTCATGCTCACACTCACCTACTTATTTATCAAAGAGTGTAAGTCAAAAACAGGCTTCCATTAGAATTTTCTCACCTGCCACTTCCTGTGGTCCACGGAAGGTCCGCTGCTGAAGCAGGGCTGGAGGCCTCGGGAGGGCAGTGCCCCCTCTCACCAGGGTGCCTGGGCTCTGCAGGCTCCGGGAAGATGTGTGTGGGAAGGAGGAACTGCTCCTCTGGGCCTGAGTCTCTTGTTCCCTCAAGTGTCAGCTGTAGCATTGGGGCGCTTTACAGCTGCTGGAAGGAACCAGAAGGCAATCTCAAGGACACAAAAACCTAGTGTTGGACCTGTTTGGGTGATGGAAGATGACATGTTCACTCAGGAGCCATTTTTTTCAAGCACCTGCTCTCAACTGAGAGTACAGTGGTGGGTTGGTGATGCCTGCACCCTCATAGAAGCCGTGGGCTCAGGAACACTAAGTGAGGCAGACACTAAATGGGAAGTTTCCTTTAAAAAATGTACGGGCCCTGGTTGGGTAGCTCAGTTGGTTAGAGCATTGTTCTGATACACCAAGGTTGCATCCCTGGTCAGAGCACATACAAGAAGAAACCAATGAATACATACATAAGTGGAACAACAAAATAGATGTCTCTCTCTCTCTTTCTCTCTCTCTCTCTCTCCCCCTCTCCCCCTCTCTCTCCCCCCTCCCTCCCCCTCTCCCTCCCTCCCCCTTCCTCTGTCTCCCTTCCCCTCTCTCTCTGTCTTCCCCCCTCCCCCTTCCCCCTTCCCTTCTCTCTCAAAAAAAATCAATAAATAAAAAAGGCAAAGAACATAAAATATTTTATTTTGAAATACAAAAGCAAATAAAATGTTAATATATGATTAAAGCTTTTCATCCCTTCCCCCTCCTGTTTTCCTCTGTCACTTCCATGCATGTTTCTGTACTGTATGTTACTGATTTCTGGTTTTTAAAATTTACATAAATGGTATCACAATATATATAGTCTTCTGCCACTTTTCTCTCAAGTTCATTTTTGAGATGAGACTCTGGTTCATTTTAATTGCAATTGGTAGCATTGTTAATACTACAAATTAGCAGTTTTCAACTGGTGTGCTACAAGAATTTTTAAAACATGCAATACCTGACTATTCAGTCAGGGGCACTGACCTCTTTTCCCCTAGATTGTCAAATAGAAAAACAACAACAACCAATACAACAATAGCCATCCAGTGTAAAGAAATCAAAATTATACCTATTTTTTTGTCAAATCCATAGAAATATTTTTTTTGGTGGGCCACAGAGTTTTACTAATTAGTTTATATATGCCATGAGATGAAGAAGGTTGAAAATCACTGCTGTAAATGAACTGCAGATTACATGGTTCATTTATTTACTTGTAGAAAATTCAGTTGTGTACAGTATCCCACTGTTAGCAGCAGTCTCTGTGAGCATCCCATAGGCAGGTTCTGTGAAGAGTGGCCAGTAAACCAGGTTGCTGCACCACAGAGGAGGGATCCTCACTGCAGCCGGGAGGTGTCTGGGTAGTGTGTGGCACGTCGGAAGTTTACTACGGCTGGAATTTAGAGTGGGGGGAATGAGGAGAAATGAGAATGAACTGGTGGTGAGGAACCAGATCACCGAGCATGCCTTAAGCCGGCAGAAGAAGTCTGACTGAGATGGGGTGCCTATGGAAAGGCTGTGCCCGTGGGGCGGTGCCCTCTTGCCGGTTTTTTAAAGTGGGGAATCACTCTCGCAGCAGCTTGCAAGATGGGCTGGAGAGCGTGCAGACTGGAGACCAAAGTGAAGAGACTGTCTGCTGCTGTCACCCAGGACAGAGTTGGTGGTGGCGCGCACCACCCTGACGGCATGGGTGACCGAGAGAAGCGGAGGGGTCAGAGGGAGATTAGCAAAGAGAGGTCAGCAGTTAACAGGATTGATTGGGGGGCGTTCAGGAGACACGTGGTAGACTGAAGGGTGAATGCCTAGTGTTGATCTTAAAAAAAAACTAAGGGAACACGGCAGGCAGAAGAGAAGGTGGGCTTCCGGGCACTGAGAGAGAGAGAAGGGTCATATACTGAGCAAGTGACCAAATAGGGTGGATTCTAACAATGTCTACTCAGAATGGCCAGGGCACAGTATAGCCCGTGTACTAGGGTGTGACTGGGCCTAGAAAATGGGAAAAGAATTGGCCTGACGTCAGCAGCTCTGGGGGAGAGATTTCTGCCCCCTGCTGGTTGGTACTTGAAATTTTTTCATGGTATTAGATCCTTCTGGAAGATGAAGCAGTATGCCATATTGGGTCACAAACTCCAATTTTTGAACCCAAGTGCTATCACTCTGTGACCTTGGGGAAAACATTTAACCTTTCTAAGTCTTGGTTTCCACATCTTTAAAATGAGATACTAATAGTTATTTCACGGCGAGGGAGAGGTGGTAAAGATTAAAATAGATGTCATATATGCACACTTGTAATAGATTCACACAAAGAATGAATGGAAGTTACTGTTTGTTGCTATACTGTTAAGGTATTGAGTACAGATTTTTCTGGAAATGAAATATGGAGCCATGTACATACAACAAGACCCCTACCCTGACTACTTCACTTAAAATTACAAACCACCCTTCACCCTTCTGATTTTGCTTATCCTTTTCAACTTTTTTTTTATTTTTCCATACCATTCAGCACCACTAACATCATGTATAACTTCCTTTTTTAGTCCCGATTATGTTTATTGTTTCTGTTCCCTACTAGGAAGGGACCTCTGCCCAAAGGCAGGCCCTTGGCCTGGTTTGTACATTGATCTCATCACCGAGAGCAGTTCCTATCCCGGGCATGTCGTGCCTGCTCAATAGATATTGATTGAATGAATGACTGATTCTTAGACCGCTGGAGAATCCAATAAGATCCTGAAAGTTAGCCTCTGGGGCTGAGAGGGAGGGCAGACCACATGCAAACAATATTTCTGCCTAGAGTTTCAGATCCTCTGAAGCCCATCTGTGGAGAATATAAGGCCAAAACGCCCACACTGAGATTTTGACGCTTCCTCAGTCTTTCCCAGTGGAGGTGCAGATAACTATTTATCTGGCACGGCCCTGACATTGGGAATGCACTTGAACTGGAATTCCCAGGCACTTGGAGTCTCCCTTGTTTGTATTTCAGAAGTGGAAATCTCAAAGACTCTCAGGGTAGTGTATTGTTGCAGAGCTTGAAAACCATGTAAGGCAGTTGTATCAATGATAATTGCTTAGTCCATGTCTAAAAATCTATAGACCAAGTGATTGATTTTTGTATAAAGAATTAGCCCCAGCTTATTTAGAGGTAAATTAAATATCTGTTGGCAGCTTTTTAATTTTTTAATGGATCATGATACATTAATTTGTCCTTTTTTTTTTTACTTCATCATAAATATGAGTCAAGTAACAGCCAAATATGAATTAGCTAGTAAAATCACTTTATAAAATAAGATGCTTCCATCCTAACCTTGGCTACAGATAAGCTAATGCCCCTAGATTTGATAGCCCAAGGGATTTGTTTTCAGAAGGGAAGACTCAAGGTGACTGCATTCACAGTAGTTGCAGAGGTGTGGTTGGGTGTCCTTGGTGATATTTGAATAGTACGATTATTACAAATTTCTCTTCTTTTTCAGATTCGCCTCGACGACTCTGGTGGTACCACTGGATTTGCTGGCTTCTCAGCGTGGTTGGAATCTTCTGTATTCTCTTAGCGCATGACCACTACACTGTGGACGTGGTGGTGGCGTATTACATCACCACGAGACTCTTCTGGTGGTACCACACTATGGCCAATCAGCAAGTGAGTTTTCCCCTATTTGTTGTTAGCTTCTGTTGCTCCTGGGTTGGTGTTAACCAGCACAGCAGCGAAAAATACAAAAAAATGTACAGATATCTTAGTTTTCTCTTCTCTTAAGGGATCATCAACTATAAGATTATGTTCTTTTGTGATGCTGATCCACTTGAGAATCAAAAATGAACAAGAACTGTTATAATGACATAGGAGATGCATCCTTTTAGAACAAGTATCATGTTCTCAATGTCTCTGAAAATATTTACTAATCTGTGCCCGCCTGTTGCTTGATTTGAATTCTTACTCTCTTCCTACCCTTGGCTCCTCACCAGCTTAATACTTAATCATTTAATTAGGCCATTTTAATTGTAGAAGAGTGAGTAACTGAAAGGCTAATCGAGGTATTTATTTGTAAACAAGAGATTGAGTAAGCCACGAGTTTCCCTTGCGCACCTGGAATCGGAGTTACTTGTTTTCCTGCGAGGGTGTTTTCCCAGGATGCAGGTGAGGGCTCTGCCACTGGGGTGTGTGGGTGGGCGTGGGGCCCGTCTGGGTCCCTTTGTGAACTATAATGTAAAAAATACTTGATCTTTAAGTGAAGGATTATGAGAAAAATATATATATTCCTTTTGGGGCTGAAAGAAATTAATCATTCCTCCTGACTCGGTTTTTCCTTTCTTTACTGATGTAGGTGCTAAAAGAAGCTTCCCAGATGAACCTCTTGGCCAGGGTGTGGTGGTACAGGCCGTTTCAGTACTTTGAAAAGAATGTCCAAGGAATTGTACCTCGATCTTACCATTGGCCCTTCCCCTGGCCAGTAGTCCACCTCAGGAGGCAAGTGAAATATAGCCGGTTGGCGAATGACACATAACAGCTGTACACAGTGGGGGAACGAGGAACTGTCCGAAGTGCTAAGAACTCCGTGAGAGAAGATGCCATAAAATAAACACCTCCCTAATCCTACTATCTTTCAACAATTACCTTGACTTAACCTATTGAGTTACCTGGTCAGCACTGTGATCTTTTTTTCTCTCCAAAGGACCTGCGTTGGAAACAATAAAGAAAATGTCACCTATCATGCACTGGACACATTTCCTGTTCATGAGTTTGGGATTTACATAACCTGCAGCCACCACGTTCCTTTGTATATGATGCAACAGCATAAATGTGAGCTTTTATATCATAAGTTCTGGTCTTTCCAGTCACATCTGGAAATAAAGTGTATTATTTTCTTGGGAAAACATACTTTTCATATCTCTTGCCCCAAAGATTGGGCTCTAAGCCATTTTCTAGCAAATGTCTCTATGAAGGTTTCTAAGCACCTGAACGGGGTTCGATTCTGAAATCTTTCTACCTGTTGCACCGATATTCAAGTAAAAATGACAGACACAGAAAGGTTTAGTAACTTTGGGTTTTGTAAAATCAGCAGAGACAATGTGTCAAAAAGTGCAAAAAAAAAAGATTCTGTTGTAAAGTGATTTTCTAAGTATTTCCTAACTTTATTTTTCAAATGATGTTATGAAAACCAAATTTAAAGATTTTTACATGTCAAAGAGAAGAGAGTTAAAATTTAAAACTGCTACTTGGGAGAGAAATTTGTCTATGTTTCTAGTGCCTTTCTTGTCTTGATTGTATGGTCAGTAGGCGATCTTAAATGTTTTTATTTAATATAAAGTATTCCACGAAAATATAAATGTATGTATACACTACTCAATTTTGCATTTATAGCTAAATTAAATCAGAAGGCTGCTTACAGTTTTTCAATTGCTTTGAATTAAAGAAGGGGTTGGGGGTGTAATTAGAAAGTCCAAGCCTGTTCCCATATTGTGAGCAGGTGGCAATGACATTGTGCCACTTAAATTATTTCCTCTATTTGGTAGTTCAGTTTTAACTATACAATGAAAACAGCCATGAATACTTTTTTTAAAAAGCGAGTTTTGAAAATGATCACTTAACTAAAACTTGAAAGGTTTGAATTAGTTATCCATACTCTCACGACAATTTTGTTGGTGAACAACAAAAAAGAGATCTATTTCTTTAAAATATCTATGTGCAGAAACTGCATGTAATTCTTAAGTTTTACTCCTAACATATGTATGTTGGGGAAGTATTCTATACTTGCCAATGTGGAGAACAAAATAGTTTTTTAAGAATGAAGAAGTATATATATCCATTCTGTATGTTGTGTGCGGCAGAACTCTCTTCCGTAGGGCTTTTTTGTGTGTGTGTGTGTTCACGAGGTGATATTTGTATTGTAAAACAATAATGGTGAAGGAAATAAAAAGGCTTTTAAAATTTTGTTTGTTTTAAATCTTTGTAAAGTTTATCCAGAGAGTATACTGATATCTTAACAGCCTACCTAGATCATAAATTAATCAAAATGCACTTTTTAATAAAAACTGATACTTAAAAACAAATGGCTGTTTCTAATGTGTTCAAGTTCTTCACAGAAGTCCTAAGTGAAGTCATTAAAGTGAGGTAAGAAACTCAAGTTTCAGAATTTCTTCATTGAGTTTTTTTGAGATAGGGCCTTTAATAAGCATGTTTTCTTCCCCTTGAGATTTCTAAAAATGTGCACCAAACTTCAGTAACCTGTGCAGGTTGAGAGCACTTTTAAAAAGACAGTTGAGCCCTGGTGGGTGTGGCTCAGTGGATTGAGCACTGGCCTGCGAGCTGAATGGTCTCTGGTTCGAATACCATCAGGGCACATGCTTGGGTTCCTGGCCAAGCCCCCAGCCAAGTCCCAGATGGGGACATGCGAGAAACAGCTGATCAATGTTTCTCTCACATACGGATGTATCTCTCCCTCTCTTCCTTCTTTCCTCCCTCTGTCTCTAAAAATAAATAATTAAAATCTTCTAAAAAATTAAAAAATAAAAACACAGTTGAACCTTACCAATTCGAGAGGTAGGAGCACCACCCCCTGCACAATGGAAAATATGTAACTGTACAGTCCTTTGCATCCAAGGCAATCAAGGACTTTTTTTTTAATTCGCTTATAAGTGGACCCCCACAGTTCAAACCCGTGTTGTTCAAAGGTTAACTATACACAAAAAGAATCACAGGTAAGTAAAATCCAAATCACAGAGCACTGTTCCCCAACGATTTTGAATTCTCTAATTCTCAATCACGTCACTGACTTCACTGTTTTTTCCTAGTAACTCCCCAGTAGTATCACTTTTCTAGTTTAGAAAGGAAAAGGAGACCTGAAATGAGAAAACGCATTAGTGCTTGGACAATAAATGGTAAAGCAAAATAACTTCAAAAAGAAAAAAGCTCCTCCCGATGTGGTAAAGGCAGAACGAGGTTAACAGAGGAGGCCTGTCCTTGTTAGCAACTGTCCGGGGAAGCCGGAAATGGGAGGTTTCCTGCGCGGAGCTTTAGACATGTCTCAGGGAGAGAAGATGTGGTGGCCTCTTAAGGCAAATAGAGCAAAATTTGTGTATAGGTTTGTATTTAACTGTTACAACCTTTTACTAACTTCAACTATTCTATGTTGCGTACCAAAAGTGAACAGAACCTGAGTAATGAAAATGAATTATTGGCAAGTGCTAACAATAAGATCTTTTTTCTTAGTCAAAATAGATTTAAAAAATTATTATTGTAAGTTTACCCACTACGTATGTACCAAGAGATCCCTTGCTGCTTGCTCTTCATGCCTGACTGCACTGGTTCGTGAGTTGACATTTCTGTGGCAGGCACTCTAATCAGCAAGCCCCATGAGGGACAAAGAGAGAGCTCATGGAGAATGGAGAATCTTATGGAGAATTGTGATAGACTTGATAATGCCTGCCCGGATGAGGACATGTGCTCTTTTGTCCTTTCCTTTGGTAAGTCAAAGCCCTAGACAGTATCTCTTCCTTTTGCTCTCTTTACAGTTCGGACACTCTCCATGTATTATCTGCTGCCCCTCCCACAGCCTCAGTGTTAGTTATCATCCCCATTTTACAGGAGGTGGCTGGTGTGTTGAATAAGTTTCCCAAGGGCATGCAACTGGTAAGTGGTGAAAATAGGATTGAAGACCAAGTTTCCACCCTCTCCTCATGTCCCACCTCCTCCTCCAGTTCTCTGAGTTTTCCTAAATTGTTTAGGAAGACTCTGCAGTGGGAGAAGTCTGTGCTTATGGTCGTATAGTTTCGCATCTAATGATGGAGAAAATACATGCTACGAATTTAGAAACGCTGAGAGGAATTTGTGGTTTGTTAATCGTGGTAGAATATGTGTAATTTTAGTCAATTGGAATAACGCTTATTTGTAGGAGCTATTATTCCATCAACATACCATGGTTGGTGACTAAATATTCAGAAGTCTCAAGAATTCTTAGGAGAGGTTTTCTGAAGATTTTAAGGCAGACATCAATAAGATTGTCAAGAGTCTTTTTTTAAGTTTAGCAAGGCAAAAAAAGGGAGTTGAATCTATAGGACTATGCAACCTCAGTGCATGTAGCTACAGGGGGCAGGAATGCATTCCAGGTGAGGATAAGGGAAGTCTCTGACGTGGGAGCGGGGGCCTGGCCCAGAGTCCCGTCCCATCCCTGTTGTTAAGGAAATATACATTGGGGAACTGCCCGCCCCCCAGTATCATTATATCATCTCTGTCTTTGTTTCCTATGATCTTCCTTGTGACGTCTGCTCTGTCTGAAGTTGAGATAAATACTCCAGCTTCCTTCTGATTAGTGTTAGCATGGTATATCTTTCTCCACCCCTTTATTTTTAACCTCTCTGGGTCTTGAAAGTATATTTCTTATAGAAAGAATAGGAAGCATATAGTTGCATCTTGTTTTTAATCTATTTGACAATCTCTTAATTAGTATATTTACTTCTTTCACATTGAAACTATAATTGATACATTTGAATTAATATCTACCACATTTGTAATTCATTTCAATCATTTTCCTTCATTTTTTCTGTCTTCCACTAGTTTTGAGCATTATATCTCTTTTTATACACTATTTTATCTTTTAGCATGCCAATTATACTTTAAAACAATTTTAAAGTATATATACCTCAACACAGCTGGAAAAAAGTTTTAATAGTTGCCCCGGAGTTCATAATATGTATTTTTACCCAATCTAAGCCTGCTTCAAGTAACACCATACCACCAAAAGTGTGGTGCAGGCATCTTATAACAGTGTTCCCAGTTTCTCTTTCCTGTCCCAGTTTCTCTTTGCCGTTAGTCATTTCACTTATCCATATGCTGTAATAACCCAATACATTGTTACTATTACTACTTTAAACAGTTATCTTTTACATCTATTAAGAATAATTTTAAAAAATTATCTTTATTTTTTTCTTCCCTGATCTTTTCTTTATGTAGATCCAAGCTTCTAGCCTGTGTCATTTCCCTTCTGCCTGAAGAACTTCCTGTTCCTTGCAGAGCAGGTTGGCTGGTGATGAATTCCTTTCTCCCATGGTCTGAGAAGGTCTACTTCATTTTTGAAGGATGATTTTACTTGATACAGAATTCTAGGTTAGTTGTTTTTTCTTTACACATTTGAAATATTTCACTTTAGTCTCTTCTTGTTTGCATTGTTTCTCCAAAGAAGTCAGCTGTAATTTTATTCTTGTTTCTTTATAGGTAATATGTTCTTTTTCTCTGGATTCTTTCAATTGTTTTCTTTATCTTTGGTGTTCTGCAATTTGAATGACATGCTTGGGTGTGGGGTTTTTTCTTTTTGTATTTACTTTTTTATGCTTTCTGATCTTCCTATATCTATCGTTTGGTGTATGTCATTAAGTTTGGAAAGTTTTCAGCCATTAATAATTCAAATATTTCTTGTTCCATTTTCTCTTTCTTGCCTTTCTAGTGTTCCCATTATGCATGTTACACCTTTTGGAATTGTACCACAGTTCTTGGATGTTCCATTTTTAATTTTTTCTTTCTGTTTTACTTTGGAAGGTGCCAAGGAACATATCTTCAAGGTCACAGATTCTCTCCCTGGCCATGTCCAGTCTGATGAGCCCATCAAAGGCATTCTTCATTTCTGTTTCAGTGTTTAATTTATAGCGTTTTCTTTTGGTTGTTAAAATTTCCATTTCCTTACTTACATTACCCATCTCTTCTTGCATGTTGTTAACTTTTTCCATTAGAGCCCTTAACATATTAATCAGTTATTTTAAATTCTTTAGTAATTTCAACATCTGTGTCATAGTTGAGTCTTATTCTAATGCTTGTTTTCTATCTTCAGACTGGGTTTTTCATACCTTTGGCCATGCTTTGTATATTTTTGTTGAGCAATGAACATGTATTGGATAATAGGAACTGAGGTAAATAGGCCTTATGTCAATCTGTCTAGCAGTTGGGCTGTATTTAATGCTCACTGTAGCTATTTGGTGCCAGAAGCTCCAGATTTCTCTAGTGTACCTGTTTCTGTCCCCTCCACCCTCTTGACTTTGGACTTCGTTAAGTGGTCATCCTTGGAGAGAGTCTATGTCGCATAGAACTTTTAGATGTATTTCAGTTTCTCATAGTGGAGCCCTACTGCTGTGATGGTAAGATGTAGAGCGAGGGCAGTGCCCCATAGTTTTCTGATTAAACCTGTCTTTTAATAGGTTTGTGTCTCCACACTTGACGTTCACCAATTCAGTATTACGGCCCCCCACCTATGCCCATCCTTGTACGTGCCTCTGGGGATCGAACCTGCAACCTAGGTGTGTCCCCTGAGCAGGGATTGAACCTGCAACCTTTTGTTGTATAGGATGATGCTCCAACCAAGAAAGCTAGCTACCTGGCAAGGGCAACTTTTTCTAGTAAAGATGGGCATGATAACTCTCAAGCTCTTTACATGTTGAAGTTGAAACTGCCTTGGTGACCCAGTTTTCATGGTCAAATAAATTTGGGAGACAATGTACAAGGTGTTATCTGTAGAATGTCTTTAAGGGCTGGATGTATAAATTTGTGTTCTAACAACAGTTGAAGAACTAAAAGTGGCTATTAGAGCCTGCTTTAATGATGTCAAACTCTCAACACACAAGCAGTCCAGACATGAGGAAAATTAACATTGGGCTGGAGAATGGAGGGGATACATTCAGGTGTCTTCTAATTCGCCTGTACTGGGAACTTGCAGGCCATTTTCTAGGTTTCTTGACCGTAAGACTTGCCAGAGCTTTTAATGTGCTCTTCTGCAGAGGACTTAGGATGCAGCCCAGCATTAAAGCAGAGCCCGAACTTCAGAGCTGCTCCCGGATATCTTTCTCTTGACTGCTCTAGTTTGAGAGCAGTGTGGCATAATCCTCATTGGTGCCTGGGAAAGAATTGCCAGGGACATTAGTTAGTAACAAATATGATTGCTTATAAAAATTTTAAGACACTAAGAAAATATCAGGTGGTACTCATCCAGAATGCTTAGCATATTTATGTCAAAATTTGGCTGTACAGTATTTTCTATTTAGTCAGTTGCTTTCTTCTCATTCTTTTG